TGTTGAGTTAAGACGTATATGACTTAATGGACCGAAACGTCTTATCTCACTCTTACCTTCTTTCCTACACTGCTCTTTCTTTCTGAATTCCATCAGACCTTCGCCATCTGCGGTTCCAGAGTCAACCTCTATGCTGCAATCTGCTTACATCATTCCTATGTGTATTATGTTTGTGTCAACCTATCTTGAAAGTAAGAAAAATCAAAATTCTGTCACTAAATCGCCTTCTGAGAGGTAAATTCCCTTAGAAATATCCAGGCCAACAGCAGGCATCTGCGGACAAAGCTGTTGATATTTTCGGCCATACTAAGCTAAAAACAGAGCATCTCATCTACCATTCTGTTTATTAGCTGTTTTCTTTTAATTTTAAAAATGATTTGTATAAAACAAAAAAACTTGCTTTTTTGTCAACCTTATGCTTATGTTTGCTCCTTCTGCCTGTATGTGTTACGGCAGTTATGTCAACCTGCAGTATTCATTGCTTGTTTATAAGCATTTTGATAATTGCTTTTTTTTCGGTAATTATACACCAGATTCTGTTTTTTAGCAATTTTTGACCGATTGCGGAGTATTCTGAATGACGCAGAAATAGACAAAAGGACCCAGTACATGATCGAAGTGATCTTCCATATCCGGAAAGATAAATTTCAGGTATTGTTTATTATTCGTTTTTGTCACTTACTGCGTTTTTGCTTTCTAGAATTTCTATAGTGAAGAGAAAAGGTTGCTATGATAAGGCAGACAAAAATGATTTCGTGTTAGATAGTTTGTGTTTTTTTATGGGATTTTTTCGTAGTGGGACGCGAAGATCGTTTTTCCAAGCGGATGAGGTCAAGCCGATCAGTGCGTAAAGAAAACCACGTGGCTCTCCTAAATCAATCTTTGCCTATGAGTTGGCTTTAAAGATCTAAGGGTCTGGAGTTTCGTATTTACAAGGTAAATGTAGGTTTATTTCTTGATTTTCAGTTTTTTGGTTATAGTTTCAATTTTAGTTTTTTTTTTTTTTTTGGTTTTGGTTTCAGCAGATAGTTTTTAGTTTTATTTTGACACTTTTAAATGAAAAGTATTTTGTTAGCGTATTTGTGAAACTTTCTTGTTAATTTCCAGGCCTACCCAGCGGTGATTGAAGAACTGGACTTGATAGAAGAAGAGGATCAAATTACCCATACCATCACACTGGACGATCCACTTTCGCCACAGGACGAATTGAGTAAGCTTAAATTTTTATTCTTGGAGGCCGGCTTTTATTTCTGTCCTTCTGCTGTTATGTTTTTGTAGACAGAATATCAGAGTAGACGAGAACTGCCAGAAATTGTGCATGTAGTATGAGGTGGATGTATTGCATTCGATTGTGATTTCAGATGTC